GAGAGGTGCACCGAGAGACAGATTGAGCCATTATTACGTAATATTCCTACAGACATAAGTGTGTACTTTTGCCAGCCTTCGATGTAGGGGGGGGGGGGGCCGCCCCTAAGGTGGTCTAGCGGCTAGGTGTTCGCCTCTAGACTTAAAATCTTAGGTTCGAATCCGCATCGAGTCGACTGGGGTTTTTTTTTTTTCTTTAAAATGATCTTGGCTTCCAGCTGGACACAGGGGTCGAGGCATGGCGTTCGCCTAGAGTGCTGGAGGTCCCGGGTACAGGTCCCGGTGAAGAGCCGTTAGGCTACTCTGTTCAATTTCCAACTGCCAAGGGGATTTTTTTTACGTGCGCAAGAATACACACGGGCGTCCGATTTTACTACCCAGAGACCGGGGCAAATTACAAGAAGTCCACGTAAAACAATAAATCCCAGCCTTCATCAGGGCTTGAACCCGGACTTCAAGCACTCGAGGCGGACACCATGCCGCAAGACCACTCAGTCCCCTAAGTTGTGCACTACAGCCGTCTTTGGGGATATTACGATTCTCTTAGCACTATTCAAAACCATTGAAAACGTTCTCCCTTTGTAAGTACTAAACTTTCCGCCAAGGATGATCCATGGTACTTCGAGGATTACGAAATTGTTTATCACCGGCGCCGACACGGAGGAACCAGTGGAAACGGTTTGGTGGCCACAGTCTTTTTATGTGCCCATTTTCCAGGCGGGGCAGAGTGGGGGAGGATAGACTGTTACAGAAGCCAAAGCCCTCCCATGTTCCAGCACTTGTGAAACCGACACTAAATATTATATATGGCCAGATTCAGCAACAACCTACAATCATTTATGAATTTGTACAGTTTTCATATCCCCCCACGCCAGCTTGTGTGTTTACCCATCGATGACATGTTACAGTTACATGTAGCCAGGGGGACATTTACCCCAATCCCCGTTGTGCTAATACCTGTCTTTATGCCTGAACTAATCTTAGATCCACGGGTGGTTAGTTAGTTGTCGACACGGCCGACGACAACTGGGATCCGACACCAACGCTAGATTTAAACTTTGGGCCCTGTAGAGACGCGATGTCAGTGACGCATATCCCGCCCTGCCATATATGGAATCTGTTTGTGTGGTGGGGTGGTTTTGTTTGTTAGGTTACCGCGTCGGGAAAGGAGAAAAATCGATATTATATGGTGTAGTCATAAGGCATCATAACTGCGGCTACTAGAACCACTTTCCAGAAAGGTGTTTAGAGATATACATGATTCACTGTGGAATGTGTTTAAGGTGCAGACACTACAGGCCATAGTTGTATGTGTATCCGGTATTTTTCGAATTATCTGTTGACGTTAAAATGTTGTCGTATTGAAGTAGTATTTGTTACAATACGTGAGTAATGTTTTGTTTTTGTATATTTTAACACAGTGGGATTTTAATAAACAAGAAACAATTATGTTTATTACAGAGAACACACATAAGCGATGTTGCTGTTCGTGAACATTTTAAATGAAAATTTAGTTCGAGCAGTGAAGATGGCTTTGTTCGTGTTTATTATGTAGGCGTAATTTTGTGTAAAATAACCGTAAAGGGGGGGGGGAGGGGGGGGGGGGCTTTGTTTGTGCAATTAAAAACAGCTGTTGTTACTTCCCGCCAAAAAAAATGTCGGGTGTACTCATGTCTGTTTTCATGAATTAAAACAAAAACCTTATTTTTAAATCATATATTTGGGCTGGGCCTATGGGTTTGCTTGCATGGCTTGAAATCATAACAGTTATACACCCAAAATGGCAAAGTAAATATGCCTAATACTTGATGAGACCGTAAGGGTCCAAATTATAACTGGGTATCTAGTATTTATTTTCATGTGGTAGTCACATTCAAAATATGGTCTCCAGATCCGGACGGTAAATACTGATACACAAAAGAAAAATATTAGCAGCGCAATTTTTGCCTTCCCCAACTAGGGTCTGCGCCATTTGAAGAATCAAATCTCAAAAGTTTGTGTGGTTATTAACAATAATTATTCTGAGGTCTGCTATAAGTAATTTTTTCTTTTCTCTCAGCATATAAACCGTACTGAATATAGTCATTTCAGTCCGTTCATTTTTGTGTGTGTGTTATTTTCGTGAAGTAATAGTAATTTCCATAAACAAATCCTGTTCAACCCTCCAGGGTTATAACTGGGATATAAAATGGTAATCGAGTTATCAGAGAATATACTTGTTGTTTTGTGTATGGTGTAATTATGCAGTGGGTGTTATTGTTTCAAAGATTCCTTTCTTTACATCTTTTGGGTTTGAGTTTATCGTCGTCATTCTGTTAAAGGCTAATCGCTATAACGTTCTTTTTGTGCTTATTGTTTTTCGATCTGTAAAGCCGACATATACTTTTATGTTTTCCCCGCCTTTGTTAGTTTGTTATCTGATAACAGACCCGCATAGATTGGTTTTCGATGATTGTAAATGTGTATTTATAGATATTAGTTCCGTGCCCCGTGCTGCCAGTTTTCAATGAACCCACGTCTGTGTTGTAGTGTAGCAGACGTGTAGGGTTGGGCCGTCTCATGGCTGCCGCCAGTTCTCTGTGTGTAAACCCGCTGTTGGTGATCTCTGGTCTCTGTCTTCTTGCTGCATCAATATCAGCTCATTGGATTTATCTGGACAGAATGATGAGATAGTTGACGACTGTTAAACTAAGTGTTTTTAATAGTTCACGATTATTTTAGCTAGATAACACTCTGAGTTAGTCAGTGATCGAGTTCGAAGTCGTTTTTTCCCTTCAGGAAAACAACAGTCAATGACAAATTTAGTTGTTTATACCAAATACTTTAGTTTATATATTTACATTAAAAAAAGAAATCCAGTACATCTGAACTGAAGTACGACTGTTACTGTGAAATTTGACAGAACAACTGCGGCTACTGTGTACAACTGTCAGAGGGAACAGCTAGATGTGTCAGTGTCATGTGAACAACTGTGTCATTGTGAACAACTGTGTCAGTGTGAGCAACTGTCAGTGTGAACAACTGTGTTAGTGTGAACAACTGTGTCAGTGTGAACAACTGTGTCAGCGTGAACAACTGTGTCAGCGTGAACAACTGTGTCAGTGTGAACAACTGTATCAGTGTGAACAACTGTGTCAGCGTAAACAACTGTGTCAGTGTGAACAACTGTCATTGGGAACAACTGTATCAGTGTGAACAACTGTATCAGTGTGAACAACTGTCATTGTGAACAACTGTGTCAGTGTGAACAACTGTGTCAGCATGAACAACTGTGTCAGCATGAACAACTGTGTCAGCATGAACAACTGTGTCAGTGTGAACAACTGTGTCAGCATGAACAACTGTCAGTGTGAACAACTGTGTCAGTGTGAACAACTGTCAGTGTGAACAACTGTGTCAGTGTGAACAACTGTGTCAGCATGAACAACTGTCAGTGTGAACAACTGTGTCAGCGTGAACAACTGTCAGTGTGAACAACTGTATCAGTGTGAACAACTGTGTCAGTGTGAACAACTGTCAGCATGAACAACTGTGTCAGTGTGAACAACTGTCATTGGGAACAACTCTATCAGTGTGAACAACTGTCAGTGTGAACAGCTGTGTCAGTGTGAACAACTGTGTCAGTGTGAACAACTGTCATTAGGAACAACTGTGTCAATGTGATAACCTCATTCAGCTTATAAGTTTTAAAAAAATTAAAAAAAAAATTATAATCTTTCCCACCCCCACTCCTTTTAAACATAATTATAGAATGCAAGGTTCTGGTGTACACATATTTGGATCCCCGCTGGAGCTGTAGTGTTTGTGCTATGCACTGAGACCCTCATTGTATCTGTCTGCAAAAAAAATTATGAAGCAGTTATGCAGCTGTATGTGTGCAGTTGAAAGGGATCCTGTACAAGCCAAACCAAAAATCAGTCTTCTGGAGAATATAGTAGGTTGGCACTTGCTTGTTAAACTGGCGGTTGTCATAATTCATTCCAACATATTTCATTTCAGCTGACCCTTTTATAGTGGCATTTATGACTGCTTGGTAAGGGGTAGTTGGTCTGTTCTTGTTGTTCCTCCAAAATGGATCCCAGAACCCACACAGCACCCACAGGATATTTCTGAATGTGAATGTCAGTTGTTTGAGAAGTCTACTGCGGCCACTTCCCTGGGCAGTTGGCCACTTTATCCTTAAGTAGACACATTAAAGGCTCTCTACGATCAAGTCAACAATACAGTGGAGCAGTATCCATACCTCTAAAGGGGAGAGTATGCAGAGGGTTTGTATGGTTCCCAACATGCATAGTAACAGAAAGGCAGGTTGCAACTTGCAGTCAAAAAGGAACTCTTTGTTGGCTAGTGAGGTTTGGGAGAGCGCACTTATGGGAATGCCCTGAGTGCATCAATTTCAATTCTTGATTGATTCGTTCATTTATTCATGTTGAAATAACCTACAATTGTTTTCTTAAATGTGTTTCTATTTTCAGAAACTACAGATAACATGAGCCTCCCTGGCCTAAATGTATTTGACCACAGAATTGAAAACATTTAGTCAGACGTGACGATTACAGCTGCATGATTTCATCCTGGTGTCGTTCAGATATTTTATTTCTATGTCAGCCTTGAGATTGACACCTGCTAGTTGCTTCCAGTGACTGCTACATGACTCAGTTGTTTTCCTTGGGCAGTAGAAGATGGTACACTAGCACACGCATTGGTGACTCGTGATGTGCTAGACTTTGAGAAACAATCCTCATACAGTCCTTCATATGCTGCATGTTTTTAATCATCATTTACACCGCTGTCAAAAGGGGCACATACAGGCAGTAAAGACAACAGCAAAGAAGTATTTAATTTTGCAGTACCAAGATTACATGTAGATTTATGTTCTTTCTGATTTATTGACAAGCAAGACGATTTATTTGTCTGACCGTTTGAGTATATCAGACATTCTAACAGACATTTTCAGGGTCTGTGCAGACACTTTTGGTCTGTAGTCTTCAACAATTATCATGGCCAACCCACCAAAACTTCACCTTTATGACATCAATGCAAACAAACGGCATGACCACGGAGCCTACAATGATTACCGGTCTCCGTCCCTGAATTCGTTATCGTCCCCTACCGAAACATCACCTTTGACCTCTCCATCTTATAGGTCAATGACGAGATCGCCAATACCATCTCCGATTCCATCACCTCACAGTCCCACTGTGGATGTAGAAGCCAGGCAGGATATAGAATATACTCGGGCTCCGGATATGTTTCCCTGTGGCCATGTTCTTTGTCACAACTGTGTCAGGAAGTTCATGCACCGACGTCAGAGATACGGTTGTTCTCGCTGTCCAGTTTGCCATCGCCGTCTCGATGATGATTACGCTGTTGCAAGAGCCACTGGCCTTCCAACTTCTTCATCAACACCTTGTGAATCATCAGTGCCCGCGCCCAATAGTGCTTCCTATCCAGAACCATCTGATCCTACCCCGATATCTCTTCTCAACAATTTTGATGAAATAGTTGCCAAATTTAATGGGATTCAGCAGAACCTGAGGCAGCTCAAGGATGAATCTGTGCAGTCCAAGTCCATGGGCATGACATTTACCAACACCCAGTGTCACCTGTGCCTAGAGAACCATGGCACTTTGAGGGTTGTTCAGGAGTATAACCAGCTGAGTGTTCGGCATGAGCGACCACATGCCTGGAGCCCATTCTTCTACAGGTAAGCATGTTGCATTTCCACATATCTGTTTTTTTTCATACTGATGCCAGGGAAAACTGTCTCATCATAATCAAGTCAGATTGCTGTTGGTGTAATATGTTTATACAACTTTATAAATTGTCTGACTGATAACTAGATGTGACAGTAGTTACTTAACACTTTTGCCCTGAGAAGACTCGAAACCAACACTTCACTGGAATTTCTGCCCGATGTACAGAGCCATTAGTATACAATATTGCATCATCTAGCATAGCGGTCTCATCTGTCAGTTGTTTACATGTCAGTCATACCGTTACACCAGTGCCTACATTCTCATCATCTGTCAGTTGTTTACATGTCAGTCATACCGTTACACCACTGTCTACATTCTCATCATCTGTCAGTTGTTGACCTGTCAGCCATACCGTTACACCACTGCCTACACTCTCATCATCTGTCAGTTGTTGACCTGTCAGCCATACCATTACACCACTGTCTACACTCTCATCATTTGCCAGTTGTTGACATGTCAGCCATACCATTACACCACTGTCTACACTCTCATCATCTGTCAGTTGTTGACCTGTCAGCCATACCATTACACCACTGTCTACACTCTCATCATTTGCCAGTTGTTGACCTGTCAGCCATACCATTACACCACTGTCTACACTCTCATCATCTGTCAGTTGTTGACCTGTCAGCCATACCATTACACCACTGTCTACACTCTCATCATTTGCCAGTTGTTGACCTGTCAGCCATACCATTAAACCACTGTCTACACTCTCATCATTTGCCAGTTGTTGACCTGTCAGCCATACCATTACACCACTGTCTACACTCTCATCATTTGCCAGTTGTTGACCTGTCAGCCATACCATTACACCACTGTCTACACTCTCATCATTTGCCAGTTGTTGACCTGTCAGCCATACCATTACACCACTGTCTACACTCTCATCATCTGCCAGTTGTTGACCTGTCAGCCATACCATTACACCACTGTCTACACTCTCATCATTTGCCAGTTGTTGACCTGTCAGCCATACCATTACACCACTGTCTACACTCTCATCATTTGCCAGTTTGTTGACCTGTCAGCCATACCATTACACCACTGTCTACACTCTCATCATTTGCCAGTTGTTGACCTGTCAGCCATACCATTACACCACTGTCTACACTCTCATCATTTGCCAGTTGTTGACCTGTCAGCCATACCATTACACCACTGTCTACACTCTCATCATTTGCCAGTTGTTGACCTGTCAGCCATACCATTACACCACTGTCTACACTCTCATCATTTGCCAGTTGTTGACCTGTCAGCCATACCATTACACCACTGTCTACACTCTCATCATTTGCCAGTTGTTGACCTGTCAGCCATACCATTACACCACTGCCTACACTCTCTTCCTAATGTGATAATAACCTGCTGGAAACTGCTGCCATCAATACATTGCAAACATACATAAAGAGTACTAAAGGGCAGTAGAAGAAGAAATATATACATACATATGAATGGAGGAACATAATGTATACAGATACAGCTGAATACAGAACTAATGTATATATTTTAATAGGAGTTGGAACTACCATGTTTTCCTGGAAATAAGATCTGGTCTTCTATTAATATTTACACCAAAAAAATGTCTTATTTTTAGTGGAAAACTTATTTTGATTTAATATGTGTCCCTTTTGTAAATTTTTATATTTCTTTGTATAAATATTTAATTATACTTTGTATTATCATTTATTTAAATCAGATTGAATAATATGAAACATTTATTTATACTTTATTTATTCCACTGTGCATTTTAAGGGAGCATCAAAATATGATATCTTGCTGATGATTTTAAAAGGTAAAGGTCAAGTCGGGAGATGTGAACCAGCCTCATTGCACACGGTAATAAACCAATAAGTACTCTGCTACCAGTACGGACAGCTGATGAGAATCTGCCTGTGTCGCTGTCCGCACACAACTCCGTAGCTACAGCGACGTTCCTCAATTTACCCCAGAGTGTTAACTCTGGTACCCATTACCTAGAGGCTGTATGATCCCCAGGAACCGTCCGGTTTTGAACACTGCCTGTGGGCTGCAGCAAGTCCCAGCTGGATTTGAAAGCGAGTCTCCTATCGACTGCACTAACGTGGATCTTAACTAGGGCTAAAATTTGGGCCAGGGCTTATATCACCAGCATGTTGAAAAGTGACGCTTGGGAAACAGTATTAGTCACTGGAACATAGCTGGGTTACTGTGACTGAGTGGGTTGGATGACGCTTGGGAAACAGTATTAGTCACTGGAACATAGCTGGGTTACTGTGACTGAGTGGGTTGGATGACGCTTGGGAAACAGTATTAGTCACTGGCTGGAACATAGCTGGGGTTACTGTGACTGAGTGGGTTGGATGATGCTTGGGGAAACAGTATTAGTCACTGGAACATAGCTGGGTTACTGTGACTGAGTGGGTTGGATGACGCTTGGGAAACAGTATTAGTCACTGGAACATAGCTGGGTTACTGTGACTGAGTGGGTTGGATGACGCTTGGGAAACAGTATTAGTCACTGGAACATAGCTGGGTTACTGTGACTGAGTGGGTTGGATGACGCTTGGGAAAACAGTATTAGTCACTGGAACATAGCTGGGTTACTGTGACTGAGTGGGTTGGATGACGCTTGGGAAACAGTATTAGTCACTGGAACATAGCTGGGTTACTGTGACTGAGTGGGTTGGATGACGCTTGGGAAACAGTATTAGTCACTGGAACATAGCTGGGTTACTGTGACTGGGTGGGTTGGATGACGCTTGGGAAACAGTATTAGTCACTGGAATATAGCTGGGTTACTGTGACTGGGTGGGTTGGATGACGCTTGGGAAACAGTATTAGTCACTGGAACATAGCTGGGTTACTGTGACTGGGTGGTTTGGATGACGCTTGGGAAACAGTATTAGTCACTGGAACATAGCTGGGTTACTGTGACTGAGTGGGTTGGATGATGCTTGGGAAACAGTATTAGTCACTGGAACATAGCTGGGTTACTGTGACTGGGTGGGTTGGATGACGCTTGGGAAACAGTATTAGTCACTGGAACATAGCTGGGTTACTGTGACTGGGTGGTTTGGATGACGCTTGGGAAACAGTATTAGTCACTGGAACATAGTTGGGTTACTGTGACTGGGTGGGTTGGATGACGCTTGGGAAACAGTATTAGTCACTGGAACATAGCTGGGTTACTGTGACTGGGTGGGTTGGATTCTGTTCCATGGCAGCTTACCCTGCTGCAGGTAGGTTGAGTCTGTCCTGACACAGACTCAGGGCTAAATGCAGGCACACACAAATTATAGGTTATCATATGAATATGTGACAGAATATAATCAGATCTCTTGTTTGGGAATGCAGAAATGACTGTTCCACTATGATTCATGATATGCCGTCTGAAGCATTGTTAGTTTTCATTTATCTGTTTGTTTGTTTTATGGAGACTTTAATAGCACTGTGACATTTGGTGGTAGGCGGTTTTACTTTTATTTGGATATACATTTCAATATTATATACTCTCTATCTCTCTCTCTCTCTCTCTCTCTCTCTCTCTCTCTCTCTCTCTCTCTCTCTCTCTCTCTCTCTCCTCCTCTCTCTCTCTCCCTCCTCCCTCTCTCTCTCCATCTCTCTCTCTCTCTCTCTCTCTCTCTCTCTCTCTGATAAAAGAACATTACATGCTCTATAGCTATACTACCATAGCTATGTGAAAGATGTGTGTTCAAAGGGCTGGAATGTAAGATTAACCTGAATGCCCAATTTTTTAACCTTTAAAAATAAAGTTTAATCCCCCTCCCCCCCCCCCCCCCCCCTCTCTCTCTCTCTCTCTCTCTGTCTGTCTGTCTGTCTGTCTGTCTCTCTCTCTCTCTCTCTGTATGTATGTATGTATGTATGCATGTATGCATGTGAGTGTAAATGTGTGGTTGTGGGCATATGTGGGTGTCTGTACATGTGATTGTATGTGTGTGTATGCATGCATGCATGTGTAGGTGTGTATGTATGGAATGAATGTGTGTGTACATGTATGTGTGTGTGTTTTCTGTTTGGGCATTTATGGTTGTGAATGTGTGTGTATGTTCTAATTGTGTATGTATATAGATGCATGTATGTATGTATAAAGTATGTCTGTATATGAATGTGCATGTATGAGAATGTAGGAGTATATATACGTGTGTGTGAGTGTGTAAGATTGCAAGCAGCTTCGGCTCCACCTTATCAGCCAATCATCAGATAGTATTGATACCTGCACAATACTGTATATGCTGGTCCCTTGGAGGATAGGCAGAGCGAGAGGACTTCTCCGCAATTGTCATCAGATATTGATACCTGCACAATACAGTACCTGCTGGTCCCTTTGAGGATAGGCAGAGCGAGAGGACTTCTCCGCAATTATCACCAGATAGGACTGAAACTTACATAACACAATACAAAGTATTTGCCAGAGCGAGAGGCCTTCTCCGCAAGCACCATGTCTCGGAGAAACAAACCTAACGGAAAGCGCAACGGACAGAGGAAACAGCCCACTGACAGATCTACCCGATCTAACTCGGAAGCCAGGAAGACGCAGACAGATACTACCGAACCACAGGAAGACGCCCCTACTACCAGTGAGGCCCTGAGTGACGTCCCAGCGTCACCTGAACCAACACAGCCAAGTCCACAAACATCTCCAGATCGACGAAAGACAGGCAGCTATGAATTTCCTGCCACAATATTTCTACGACAGACCAACTCGGGCCGGACAGCAATCACTACACTGGCAACGCTAACATTGATCAATATGCTGGAGATCATGTTAGGCAAGAGGGCAGTCGCAAAGATTAGGAGAACTCGAGAAGGAGTGATAGCTTCACTAAACAGAACCAACCGCACCTCAGACATGCTGGATGACATCCAACACGACGGCAAGAAAGAACTCCGACTATCCGAGGAGATAACTGTAACGGCCACCATCTTCCAGAATGTAAGACGCTGG